GGTCTGGGTGACCCTGGATTTGCATCTCTGCAAAGGCTTTTTATTCTGCTCCCAGTCCTGTTGATGTTGTCCGTGGCCATGGGAGGATGCTGGAGATGGAGACCATCACCTCAAAATGAGCCTATCCACCTTCACCAGCAGGATGCTGCTGCTGGGGACTGAGAAGGTCCTGGGAAGAGAAGCTTTGCAGCCTCTTTTAATATTCTTTCTGTCTTGGGGGCATGGCAAAAATTGACATTTGGGATGCATTATTATTGCTGGAGCTTCATTGAATGCCGTTTATTATTTTCAGATGCAATAAACCAAGCAGTGGAACCCATGAGACCAAAGGGTCGAAATGTCCTTTAAGCAAATCCCTGTGGAGCTGTGACCCCACTAATTATCCCAGATTGTCTACAAGCCCGTGGCAGTTAAAACCTAATTATGGCAAGTTCTCCTGTCACCACGGGTAAAACTCTACCCCACTTGTCAATGGCAAGGAAACCTCAGCTTAAGAAGGATGGGGAATGAGGCAAAGATTCTCTTCAAATACTGATGTAATTCCCTTAGTAAAATCAGATGCGTCAGCTCGACAGGTATTTTATCAATTTATATCGGCACTGTACATGTTGTCTCAGGGATTGGCAGAACTCACCCTGGGCAGGATGGATGAGTTTGAGGCTGCAGAAATAAAAAGTTTTGAGGGGAATTAAAAAACTTCAGAAACTGGCTGGTAATTTTGTGCATTGTTGGATGGGATGGAAATGGAATCCCATGGGAGAGCGAGGTGGCCTGACATGGTGCATTCCTATGGTGAGGATTAATTTATTTTCAGGAAGAAGAAAAATACTTAATATTAGTTGATGAATTTAAGCAAAGCCATCCCTAGGGCATTTGCGTGTCATCTCATGATGGTTTGAGCATCATCTCATGGGGGTTCAATGAGGGAACAGTGCAAACCCCCTGGCTCCGTGTAAATCTCCATCAGGATGAGCTTTTCCCAAACCCCAAAATTTGCTGTGAGTCAATTGTAGCGGGTTTTGGGTAGGGGGTTGTTTTGGGAGGGGCTGCGTAGAGCCGCATGATTTCTGGGGGTCCGAAGGCCACGGGGAAGGCGTTGTTGCTAATCTCCAGCAGGATGAGCTTTTCCCACCCCCCAAAATTTGCCGTAAGCGAATTTCAGCGGGTTTTGGGCGGGGGTTGCTTTGGGAGGGGCTGCCTAGAGCCGCATGATTTTTGGGGGTCCGAAGGCCACGGGGAAGGCGTTGTTGCTCTCCCGTGCGGGGATGCGGGACCGGGCGCCTTCAGCTCCCGGGATGCTCTTCCCCTCCCTCCCTCCTTCCTCCTCCTCCTCCTCCTCCTCCTCCCTCCGCCGCCCATCCCGCGCTGTGCGCAAGCGTGTCCGCCCCCCGCCCGCCCCGCCGGGCCGGCCCCGCATCCCGCGGCCGCCCCCCGCATCCTCCCGCCGCGCCGACCCCCGCCGCCCCATGGTGAGTCCGCAGCCGGGGTCCCGCAGCCCCCCGCTCCCCTCGCCTCCCCCGGGCCCGCGTGTCCCGGGCGGCTCCGCGAGTCGGGGGTGCTGAGCGCAAGAAGAGGGCTGGGAGGCAAAGCCCCGGTGGTTTTGGGGCGCTGGAGGGCTCGGAGCGGGGCAGGGCGCGGGCAGGGCAGGAGCTCTGCCCGCCTGGCAGCTCCCAGGCAGGGCTGGCATGGGGGTGCGAACTGGGGGTATGGGGGTGCTCCCCGCTCACCCCATTCGGACCCCCACCGGAGCATCCCACGCCTTTGGCATCGATGTCCTGGCGAGCGCGGCGCATGGTTTGGGAGAAGGTGGCTTTAATTCTACGTTTTGTGGGTTTTTGAAAAATAATCATTATGATTATTTTTCTAATTAGTGCAATTAATCAGCGCCTGAAGTGTGAGTGTGGGCAGCGGCGAGAGGAAAATCCCCGCTCTCCCAGTGCCCTTCCATCTGCTGTCTCCCCATTCCCGGCAAAACAAACCCCCTCATCTCGCCGGGAAAAGACGGCCTTTGGCATCGCTCCTGCCCGTGGCCACTCCCGGGGAAGGAGATCCCACCCCGAGAGCCCCGGCAAGAGAGGGTCTGGCATCTCCCCATGGCACGGGCTGGGCTCCTTGCGATGGCTCTGGGTGGTTGGAATGCCCGGGAGCCGGGCTGGGGAAGGGAAAACCCTCCCGGAGGCCCTGGGAGGGGAGGAGGTGCCCCGTGTGCAGCTCCGGACGGCGCCGCTCCCGTGCGGCACAACGGGCTGAGGAGGATTTATTAAGTGGTCTGAGGCTTTTTCCCCCATCCCTGAGCATCCTCTGACTGGTGGGTGGCTGTGCTGCCGTAGCCTGGTGATCCCAAGGGGGTAGGAGGTTCCCTGCCGGTCCCCCACCCGGTGCTGGTGTGGACAGAGCTGCTGGCAGCAGGATCTGGGCATGTTCGTGCAGGATAAACCCTGTCCCGTCCCACTCCGAGTGCCTGGAGCCCTCTTCTCCCATGGGACAGGATTGTTCCAGGCAGAAATGAGGATGCTTGCCCTGAGACCAGCAGGAAAAGGACCAGCTGGACCTTTCCCCGTTGATCTTTTCATGTCAGGTCTTTGCAGGGTGAACCAGTGGTGCTTTATTGTTCTGGGGAGTAGAGAACAAAGGAAAGTTCTTCCTCTGGGTGGGTTTTTTTTTGTGTTCCTCAGCTTGGACACCATCTCTCCTGTTGGATCAGTAGGGTGATGCCTAGTGGGTTAATGCTTGGCAAGTCTGATCTCCATCTCTTGGTGAGATGAGCTGAATAAATTCTTGTGGTGGAGCTTTTTGGGAAGCTCTGCTGAATTTCCCTGTCTTTCCTGCTGGGCTCTCCCCCTGGATGCTCCTGGAGGCAGGTGATGTATTGCCCAGGCTTTTCCAGCTCTCTCTGCCGAGGGTGTCCATGGGACAGGCACCCCAGGCAGGCCAGAACCTGGGATCAGTGGTAGAACTGATGGTTTAAGTGTCCTCTTCCTACCCGGGCTCCTAACGATGTGTCCAATGTTTAATGAGCTCCTTATGTCGCTGGAAGCTGTAGGGTGGGATCAACGTGCTTTGCTGGACTCTCCCTAACCCCTGTCCCTAATTGTCTGCATCATTAGAGGGCTGCTTGCTCATCCAGCTTCAGGCAGGGAGGTAATAGCAGCTGCTCCAGCGAGGCACCGATTTCTGAGAAATAATGCCTCTGCAAATGTAAATATGAAAGGAGGCACTGTCTGTGGACACTGCTATTAAGGGATGTCCACTATGAAGATCTGAAAGTAGGGTGTGTTCCACAGCTGGGATTGGAGCATCCTCCTGGAGGATCCACCCTGGAGGGAAAACATCCATTTGGAACTCTGGAGCAGCTGTACTCATGTCTATAAACCTGTATTTTTATAGCTTGTGTCATCCCCGTTCTTGCAACCTGCATCAGAGGTGGATGCCAGGCTGCAGGATGTGGGAATGTGAGACCAGTGCCCTCCCCGTGCGTTCAGGGGTTTTCAGCTGGCAGCAATCCTCAGGTTGAGTCCTGCTAATTAATTATTTGGCAATATCTCTAAATCCCATGTATTCTGTTGCTTATTCTCTTTGATGAAGTGATGGTCCCATTGCTTTAGCTTCGAATATTCCAGAGCTGATGCAGGCTGGCAGCATGGAATCTGCTTCTCCACAGCTTTCCCTATTGTGCCTTTTTTTTTTTTTTTTTAATTTTTTTATTTTTTTTTTTTTTTTAATTTTTTTTTTTTTTTTTTTCCCCTTTCATTTTTTTTTCTTCTGGATGTAGCATGATGGCTGTGTAAGGAGCAGGGATGTGGTCCTGTTCCTGCAGAGGCTGGCATCCTGGATTCACCATGTTCCCTCTGGGATCCTCTCTACCCATTCCACTCTGGGACCCCTCCCCCCAAATGCTGCCCCCAGGGACACTTGTGTGAGTGGTTTTGGTTTTGCAGTGAGGAAAGGAAATTATCTGATACTTTCATGCTGCTCGTTGCAACTTCTGGTTCTCTATTTTTTTGTGTTTCTTCAGTTCCTGTCACTTTACTTTCACACTTCTCTGTCCTCCAGCTGTAATCCTCGTTTTTTTCTGAGCTTTTTCTAGGAAAATTCTGTGTCTTCTTGGGAGGGAAGAGGAAAACAACCCCAGTACTTGCTAATCTCTTGCTTTTCCAGCTGCTGACCCCTTGCATGTGACTGGGGCTGGGCTGGAAAATTTCCTTGGAGGAAGGAGAAAGGCATTTGGCTGTCAGGGAACGGAAAAACCAAAGGAGCCGCTCTCCATCCCGGTTTTCCTTCGGACAGGCGGATGCTGGCGGCTGGGGCTGCTCTCCGGGATGTGTTTTGCCGGCTGCGGAGCGCCCCGAGCGCGGCCGCGGCTCCCGGGCCGGGCTCAGCGCTGCTCCCGGGCTCCCGGCGCGGGCCGGGGCCGGGGCAGCGACCCGGGGCAGCGGGACGGGCCAGGAGCACAGCGGGGCTGGGGGCTGCCCGTCCCGCGTGGAGCTGCCTGCTGTGCATTGCTCCGCTGGGCTGTCCAGCGACGGCGGGTTTGACCAGCTGCGGCTCCCTCCCCGTGCTTTGGCTCGGGGAAGACTGGAAGGGGCTGGGGACTCCCCACTGTGTCAGCTCCTTGTGGAGGACTGCTCGGTCCGAGCTAGGCTGGCGATCTCCATCGGCTCTTCCGTGCCATCCTGAGGATGCTGGGATGCTCCTGGACCATCATGGGATGAGGCAAGAGGTGCTCGGAGGTGGGATGCAGTGGTCCCAAGGGATGGATGGTGTAGGGCTGAAGGAAGACTCCTGACACCACACCAGAAGTTAGATCCACAAATCCATGGAAGGATTTCTGCGCCGTTTTGGAGTTTTGGCTTCTATTTATTGCAAGTCAGAACAACCCTAAATCACCAAACCACGTCTGGATATGACCGTGCAGGAAGCTGGTTTCCTATCCCCTGTTTTTTGCAGGTTTAAAAACACATTATCTGTGCTGAAGTTTGGTTCTTCTCTTTAATCCTGGGTCTGTGAAGGAGGCTTTAACCTGAGCTCACGCTGTTGGAATTCCCTGCTGCGCCAGGGAGAGAGAGGCTCCTTGCCTTCAATCGCTTCCAGATGCCATTCCTGTTCTGCTCTTCCCCTTGCAAAATGTCTCCCCCAGCCCGCCGAAGTTTTCCCAGCCGGATTCGACATCCCAATATCCGGCCAGGCTGAGTAAGCTGAGCCTTAATTTTTTAACCAGAGCCTGATGCCAGTGGTGAGAGGTTGGAACTCACCCCGTGGTGTTGCACAAGCCGGAGCCCCGGGGTGGATCCTCCATCGGGGTTTGAGCTGCTTGCGACATCGGGTGGTTTTTAAATTTCTTTTAAAATGGAGGTAAATGAGCTGGGATGGAGTTTGGGGTTTGGGATCCCTTGCTGCACCCTCTGCCCACATTGCCAATGGGGCAGAGCTTCCCTCAGCCCCAAAATGGCAGGAAACTGAGGCAGGAGAGTGCTGAGCAAGAGTTGAGGAGTCTTAAACGCTGCTCTGGTGCTTTGCTGATGCTGTGTGACCCAGCCAGCCCAGCATTCCCACCATGGGTCATAAAACACCCCTGGATGGGGATTAAACCCCCAGCACAGCAGCTCTGTGGATGCTGGGCTCATCTGACCCCCCTGGCTTGTGGTCTGGGGGTGAGATTTTGTGACATGAGCATGGATCAGACCTGTCTGTGTTGGGAATGGAGGAAAGCACTGAAGCCTTGAGGGGAAAATGGGAAGTGAGGGAGAAAAATGCAGAGAGGGGGGATGCAAGTGAACTTTGGGGATGCAGGACTGAACAGGACTAGGGTGTGGGAAGTGGGACGGTGCCAGAAATTAAGGGCAGAGAGGGGCTTTAGGGGTTAAATGTGGTGCTGCCTTCGAACAAGGCACCAGGAGCAGCGCCAAGGGCTGGGAATTCCTCGGGCCCATCCCTGTGCGATCACCAGTGCTGCTTCCAAACCAAAAAATAGACGGGGGAAAAAAAAATCACAAAGAACTGTCTGTTCGGGCATATTCGGGCTCAACAGGTTTTGCTCCTGGGCGGGGTCTGGTATTTGGGATGGGGGAACCGAGGGTGGCCAAGAGCCCAGCTGTCAGAGCAGGCTCTTTATGCAACAAAAAGATGCGATTTGTCCTCAGAAATCTTACCCTGGGCTTCTTTTCCACTGCCTTTTTTCTCGTGGGGTGACGGCAGCCCTCAAGGGCTTGGGTGGTGCAGGCAGTGTGGGAAGGGATGGGCAGCTCCTGATGAAGGGCTGGGGAGCTGGGGGGGATTTTCAGTTAAAATATGGATGAACACAAGGTTTTGGAGCCCCAACACCTTGGCACCTGCCCCAGGACCAGGTCCCACTGACAGAGCCCTGAGTCCTCCTCACATTTGGCTTCTTCAGCTTCCTGGTGGTCCATTGGCATCTGCCCTGGAGCTGGGGCTTCCCCAGCCCCTTTGCTGCCTAATTAACAACCGTTGCTGCATAATCCCCCCTGCATTTACAAGTTAAATCGACAGATTATCTGTATTATGCAAACGCAGCTTTAAATCTTAATTATTTATTTGCATGGGGTGTCTGGAAATCAGCAGCACTCAGCCTGGGGATGCTGTTCTCTTGGAAGTGCAGACTTGTGCTAGGAAGTGAACCCAAAGTAGGCTTTTTTTGGTATGGTGGGTGATGCTCAACACCCCAGCTTGGGAATATGTCTATTTTTTCCTTTAAATTTTTTTGGGGTGGGGGGTGGTTATTGTGGGAGGCTCATCCTTAAATAGCAGTGGTTTATTTTTAGGTCGGTCGCTGCTTTGGATAATCCGGCTTGGCTGGGCAGCTTTGCTTTTCTTCCCATTCTCGGGGATTTGATAGAAATAGTTTTATTAAATGATTTTATTTTTAATAAAATAGTTTAATCAATGTAATAAATTATTAATATAATTAAAGAAACATAGAATTTAAGGATGGGGCTTCACCTGGTGGTTGCCCTTTTGTGCTGTCCTGGACAGGGAGCATCCACCGGGATGACCATTAGTGAAACCTCTTCCCAAAGTGTAATTCCCACACTGGAATTACAACTTTGGCTTGGCCAGAGGGTGGCTGGGAAGCAGCTGGATTATCTCCCATGAAATACTTGCTGAATGAATAAGCTGCTGGTCCCGGGGCCATAGCGACTGGGGTGACGTGAGGGATGTGCCGGGCTTGGAAACACCTCGCTCCTGCCAGCTGGAGACGTTTTCTCTGGAGGAGGATGAGCTCACCTGGATTTTATTCCCCTCCCAGCCTGGCTTTTGCTCTCTCCCCCCTCGGGAGGTAATTTTAACAGAGGGAGGCTGGCGCCGGCGATGGAGCACCGAGGGACAGACGGACGGAGAGGGACAGACAGACGGACGGCTGCCTCCCTGCAGGTCTGGCCAGAGACTCGTCTCCATCTCCCCCTCCCCTGTTTGAACAGCCCTGCGGAGATCTGGTCCTCGATGGGGAGGATGGTGACAGGAGGAATTTGGAGGCTCATTCCTGCCCCGTGTGTGTCCCCTCCTGCCTCTGGAATATCCATTCCTGCCAGGATGCTCCTACACTGGGGCTGAGCCCCTCAAAGGGCCAGTTCTGGCTGGCTTTAGTCTTTAGCACAGGAACGGATGTGCTGGCTGGATTTTTGTTTTCTTTTCCTCAAAGCCATGAGCATCCCGGAGGCAGATGTTGGGGAGTGGTCAGAAGGTGCCTTTTTACGCCTCAGATTTGGAAATTATTATTTAAATTATTAAACTGATAGGCAGGAGAAGCAACTGAAGCTAGCAACACAGCTGGAGAAGGAAAGGAGCAAAATCCAGCTTGTTTAGGGCTTCTTGAGGGGTCTGGGATGTGTGAAGTTAATTTCCTGCTGGGATCAACTGCTGGATGGGTTGAGCTGCTTGCGGCACGTGGTGGAGACAGCAGCTCCTGACCTGGTGGAGACTGGAACTGTGATGGGACTTTTCTGGACCTGGGAACATCTGATTGCATGGGCTCATGGCAGGGAAACCACTGGGATGGCTGGAAAACAACCTCGGGAAGAGCAGCAGCAATCCAGCTCCTGGCTCTTCCAGTCGAGCTGGAAAGACCAGCTCAGGGCAAGACCTGGGATCCACCAGGATCCTGCCTGGCTGCTGTGCTTTAAGGTACAGCAGTCTCCTGCTCACCCAGGGCTGCAGGATCCTCCTGGAGCCCCCAGGCAGCTCTGAACATCCTCATTTCCACAGGCAGGGGCTGATGCTGTGCCATGAAATGCTTTAGCAGGAGCTCCCTAGGGAGAGTTTAACCTTGTTAGTGGATCCTATAATTCACAGCTCTAAATGAAAAGGCTCTGTGTCAGAGGCAGCAGTGTTGGATGCTCAGGTGGATTCAGGGCTTTTGGAAGGACCCTGGTGCCAAAGATTAATTTTGTGGCCTCAGGTGCATTTGGTTTGGCTGCTGATTGCCCTGAGCCCTTGGGATTAATTGCCTCTCAAGGCAAACAAGGAAGAAAAGGTTCTTTGGGCAGAGAGGGAAGATATGAAACTGGGATGGAGCCATCCCTGTCATCCCAGGGCATGTGCAGAAAGCCTGATCCCTGGCAAGAAGGATCCATGAGAAACCATCTCAGGCTCCTGGGTGGTCTCCATCCCCACCCCTTGGACAAGGATGTAGCCCTCTTTGTTAAACTAATGGGATATTAAGAGAGGAGCATGCTGTGGGGAAGGCTTGCACCTCTCTCGTCTCTGTTTTCCTAGCTAGAAAAGATGGAGAGAGGTGAGGAAACCTCTGGCCCTTCAAAGCTTTCCCTCGGAAGCACCTTCCCTGCCAGGGCTTAAGGAGCAGCTGACAGAGAGAGGCTTGGCTTCCTCATCTGCATCACTGTTTCTTGCACTGAAATGAGCTGACATTCCCTCTCGTGTGTTTTTTTTGGGGGGGGCCATGGCTGGCACATCTCCCTGTGCCCCATCCATCCCAGGGGCACAGGGAGAAGAGCAGAGCTGCTGCCCTGGGGCTAACCGGGGCAGCAGTGGGCTCGCTCCCCTGCCTGCCTGACTTACCTGGGAGCATGACTTGGGATCAGAGCAGAGAGGCTTTCTCTGAGTGGCAGCATGGCAGGAGGGTTTCTGTGCGTGGCGTGGTCTCTCGGCAGGATTTTCCTCCCCCAAATCATAAGGATATTACAATGCTGGGCTAGGATGTGCAGTTTGGAAACTTTTGGGGGAAAAGGCGCCAGAGATGCGGGAGTGAGGAGCGTTCTCTGTGCAGGAGGGCAGGAAAGCTGCATTCCCTTTTCCCTGGGAAAGGGCACTGCTCCATCTCACGGGGTCTTCCTACAAGTGCGAGCGAGTCACGGGAGGGGATTTGGGTGAGAAAGGCCGAGGGATGTCGGGGAAAGCTGCGGCGAGGTCCGCGCTGCGCTTGGCCGCGCCGCCTCCTTAAGAGCGGCGGGGAGCCCGGCCCCGGGGCGCCGCTGCCGGCCGAGGTGGGTGGGAAGGGGCTGGATTTTCGGAGGTGGGAGGCTTTTCGGAGAGCTCCCCCTCGGCTGAACCTGTGCGGGCTCGCCGGGGCCGCGCTGGCCGGGGCGGGCTCCGCCCGGCGCTCCGGGCCGGGGATGCGCAGCGATCCGCGCATCCTCCAGCGCCGGCGGCAGCGCTAAGGATGTTCTCTCCTCTCTCTCCTCTCGCTCTCCCTTCGCAGGGGAACAGAGGACGGCCGCGGGGATCCCGCCGAGCTCCCGCCTGCTCCGCCTGGACCGAGAGGACGGGCCGTAAGTAGCCGTGACTCGCTGCCAGCTAATCCCGCCCTGCCGCGACTGGTGTCAGCCTCTCCCGCCGCCGGGGATGCAGGAAAAAGTCTCCCTGGGATGGGGATCCTCCTCCCTGCGTGGGTTAACGGAGCACCGAGGTGATGCTGGGGGTGATTTGCTCTATACATGAGAGAAAAGAAGAACCCAGGGGATTTGGGGCCGACCAAATCAGGCTGTGGGGTGTCTCTGGCAGTTCCGCTCCTCTCAATCTGGTGCAAAACAGGAAACAGAGGAGAAACCGTGGGGCTGAGGTTACACGTGAGCCTTGCAAGGGGGATGGCAATGGCATGCAGCTTCTGAGCCCAAAAGGGGACCCTCGGAGTCAAAAGCCATTGGGAGCAGGAGCTCCCTGCAGGATAACTTAGCCCTGGAGCTTGATGTCCCTTAATTTCCCACCCCTTTTCCCAGAAGAGCTGGTGCATTGCTTGAGTTTGGATTGGGTATGGGCTGGAGCATCTCGTGGTTTAGTTGGTTTAGTTTTTACCTTCTTGAACTGTAAGGGAGTGGTTCTCCCAGTGGGTGTTCTGCCTGCTGCTCCCAGGAGAGTGAGGAGAGGCTGCCAGCACCCTGCCTGCACCCCCAGCTCACTGCCTTCCCTTTCTGCTGCTTTTTTGGGGGGAGATTTAACCCAAAACACGGGCTCAAAGCTGTGTTGCCAAAGCCACTTTTGCTGTTGCTGCTGCATCCCTGGCTGATCCCTGAGGATGGTGATACCGGAGAGTAAACGCGGCACCGAGGTGAGTGTGGCAGCAAGGGGGGTAGGACGGGGCAGGTAGGAGAAGAGTGTGCCTGGATCAATGTCAGGGGATCAGGGATGAAATCCCACAGGATTATCACTGCCCTCATCTCCTTAGCGGGGCTTCACACCCCATGGGTGGCTCTGCTCTCTTCAGCAGCTCGGCCATAACCTCCAGGTGTAGTGAGCTGCATACAGCAAGAGAAGGTCTTTATTTTAGTGTTTCAAATAGCAAAAGAGTTATTAAACCTATATAATAAAAAAAAAAATAATATGTAATCTCTTAACACTGTAGCTTAACTGTAGCCCTGTAGCTCTGTGACGGCCTGAGGTTACCCCAGAGCAGTGAGATACACACATAGCCGGTGTTTTGGGGCTGTAGGAAGGGATTTGTGTCCCCTCCCTTTGTTTTTTCTGCTACATGGATTGAAAAAAACATAGAGGGAGAGGAGAGGATGGAGCCAGGGCTGGTCTGAATTGCTCTGGAGCACATTAAAACCAACAGTGCCATGGGAAGGCAGAAGCAGCTTGGATTTATCCTGAGGACCTGTCACTGTGGAAATACTTGTTGTCCCTGAACTTATTTGCTGTTGCCACCTTCAAAATTGCAGCCTGGTCATGGGTAAATATTTTGTTAATACTCACATGCCAAAGAGGGCTTGCTTCCCCTATCGTAAATCTTTGGCTGGGTTATTGTGTGCCTGGGATACCATGGTAAAGGAAACAGCGCTGCCACTCCGAGTAAGAGGCAATTAAGATTCCTTTAAAGATTCCTTTAAAGTGACTCGCAGGGCTCTTAAAATAGGATAAATGTGGGTATCAATGCACGGGCTGGGCTGGCTCCACACCCTCTGTAGGGTCACGCCCAATGTCCAGTGGAGTTGATTTTTGCAGTAGTGTGCCCTCACGACCCTCTTCATTCCCCCAGCCCGTGCCACTGCGGCTCCAGCTCTTGACATTGCTCTGCTCCGTGGTTTTTGGAATCCCGTGCCCCCTCCCAGCATCCCTGGTGCCCCCTTGGTATCCCTCTCTCCCTGCCATGCAACGTCTCAGATCTGATCTTGGGCTTGCACTGGTGGTGGTTGCGATCCCACAAGGATTTTCTCTCCAGCTTGGAAAAAAATCTCCCCAAGCACCAGGAGCTTGCAGCAACCGGGGCGAGGAAGGTTTGGGATGCCAGGCTGGGGATTTGGGTGTCTTTGATGCTCTGCCAAGCCCAGGCAGTGCCTGCAGTTGGCTGGATGCTTTCCCTGCAGGATGGCCCCCGGCTGCACTCGGGCTTGGCACGCGCGGTTGTGCCGGGGCGGCTTGGAAGATCCCGGGGCTCTAAACTGCTTCTGTGGGGGTCCTGGCTGTCCTCCAGGGAGCACAGGATCTGCCCTGCTGGTTCCCAAAAAGCTCCATGTGCCCGGGAAGCTGGGGAGAGATGGTGTGGCTGGGATTGAAGGGTCTGTGCTGGCCTGTCTGTCTGTCTGTCCGTCTTCCTTTGGCTCCCACTGCTGCGAGTGAATCCTTAGAGACTGCCAGTGCATCCTTTGCTCAGGTGCTATCCAATTCTCCTTCAGTTAAAAATAAAGATGTGGTTTTTTGGGATAAACTGTCAGAGATGCTTATTTTCAGTGAACGTCCTTCTTACCCAGGAAAGCTGGAGCAGGCAGTGGGTGGCTCCGTGTCCCGTGGGCATGTGGGATGGGACGGTGGGAGCACAGGAGATGTGTCCTTGCCTCCTGTCATGCTTTTCCCAGCCCATAGGTTACCATGGAAACAGAAAAGTACCAAAGCTGCTGGTCCATGATGATTTGCCAGGATGGCCTGGGATCACCATCCATCCATGCTGGGATGCTGTGGAGGAATTTATAACCACTCCCCACATCCGTGCTTGTTCCGTGCCTTTAAATTCCTTTTTTCCCCCCTTTTTTTTTTTATTTTGGCTGGGAGCAGCTTGGCAGGTGCTTGCTTCCACTTTGTGGATTGACATGCCTTAAATCTGGAAATGTTGGAGCCATTGAGGCCATGGGGGGAGATGGGAATGGGCAGATGGAGATACAGGGATGATCCTCTCTGCGTTTCCTCTCTGGCGGGAGGGTTGGCCTGTATGGGTGTTGCTGGCATCTCCCAGAGGAGATGGTGAAACTGGGAGGCCAAACGCTGCTCCAGGTCAGAGGCAGACAGGCAAACTCCATGAGGCTTGGACATGAGCTGCCTCTGCAGCATCCTGGGATGGGGCTTTCCCAGAACAAGGGGTGGGGAAGGGAGTGGGAGATGGGGAATGGGCCACGGGCCTTTTGGATTCTTTGTGCAGCGATAATTGCAGCCCCGGTGCAGTGGGGGTGCATCCTGCTACATCAAAGAAGGGCTTTTCCAGGCACTTCTGCCAGGTGTGGGGAGCTGAACCCAGCGGGGACTTTCCCCCCAGCTTCAGGGCTCGGTGGGGCAGGCAGAGCCCTGGAACAAGCCTGGGGAGTGAGGGTTGATCCCAGTGAGTCTCTCCCTGCAGGACAGGGAGGCTGCAGCGTGGGATCCAGGGAGGATCTGAGGGGTGCTGTGATGGGACACAGGTGCCAGGGGACTCTGAGGACATTGTGGGGGACCAGGGATGCTGCAGGAACAGGGATACTGTGGGACTGAGGATGCTGTGAAACCAAATTCCCATGAGGTGCTCTGAGGATACTGTGCTGGGA